TTTTCATAATTTAATCATAATTTTTATGTAATACATCCGATTTATAAGTTATTTAAGAATAAAATTTAGATTACGATTAAATATTCATTTCACACATACATTATTAAATAGTCGATGTATTATATAAATGGGATCACATGTTATAATATTTTAGCATTTAATTTATTAATTTGTATTAATGAATTCTATGCGCTGTAAATATTAGTGTAAATATATTTCCATTAAGACAGATTATTTATAAAATATTTTATTTATTTATAATTAAAATAACTAAATGAATTTGAAATGTTTTCTCGTGTTTTTTTAGTATTGCTTTATTTCACTTTCACGACTCGTATTTATGTTTTAGTAAAAAAAATCAAAGAAAGTTTATAATTAAAGTTTAATCGTTATTAAGTCCACAAAACTAAAATGTTTATAAATGTGGTCTAAACTTTTGACTACTGGCCAACATACAAAAGATATGTTTATTTTAAAAACAATATTTTTCATGATAGAGTACTATTTAAAAACAAATTTGAAAAATGTTATAAATTTAATAATTAGAGAAATATTTAGAGAATTAATATTAGCATTTCATCTTAAATAAAACAAAACAGTTTAACCTTAACTTTTAATTTTCACTGTCTACTTACTTTAGTCTGTGAACATAGTACTGCCCTACTAGTCTATACATAATTTTCATCAAGTGAATTTATTTCAATAATTACCTAATTTATTGTTTTCGTTTATAAAAACGTTTTCGGAGTTTAAATAAGACATATTTAATGTGAATATTTGTATATAATTGTGATTGAATATAATAAATGACAAAATTATGTTAATTTTTGTTTATAAGTAAAATTCTTAATTTGTTTGTTTTAATTAATATTTATTAATTATAATATAAGTTTTTGTGTTATCTTAAATACTTTTATTTTTAAGCTAAATTTTATCCAATGTTAGTCTAACTATAACCTGGTTTGTAAACTATTTGATATTCTTTGATTTATTTAAAAGCAAAATATGAGGCAAATAATAAAGAAATATTTTTGAAAGTTCCACAAATAAAAATTTTAATTAGCTTGATACTTTCTATATGTAAAATTATAGCTAAGATAACACATTCTTAATTAGTGTAGAATTTAAACTCTAGTACAGTATCTATACAATAAATTTGCATTGTTTTATGTATGGATCCACTCAACTCAAGAGTTGTATTAAAATAAGTTTAGATAAATAAGTGATTGCTTTTTACCATAAAAAGTAAACTAAAGAGTTCCGGGCCATCAAGGCTTGACCTGAACTCCAATAAAAGGTAGAGTCACTCGAAGTGAACACTTTTTATGTAAAAAGCAACTAAAGAGGGGAATGCAATGCAAATGCAGATTATTTATACACAAATAAGAGTCTAAAATAAATCACATTTTAAACATTAAAGTATCAAATGAGACGTAAGTATAAAAATGTGTAGAAGAATACTAACCCCTAATGTAAATTAAACTAAATGAATAAATATTAAATAATAGATACTTGAGAAATAGTGTAAAGTTTTGAAATGGTTTCAACTCAATAGCACTTATGTCACATTTATCATGTTTGGTAGAGTTATTTTTACTTATTTAAATATACTTAGAAATATTTGTTATAACTTAAGTTTATCTTCTTAATCTTCTAAAATATCTCTTTGTAGAACTGTTATACTTTTGAGTACAGTATAAGTATCTTTTGTTTTAAAATCTCATTTAGTGTATATAACTTTTTAAATATACAAAAATATGAAATATTCTACAAATTGTGAACGCTAATAGTTTTTGCATATACTTACATATGTTTTTGCATAGGTGTGGGTAAACTAGAATACAATAATTCTTTGAAATCTATCAAATCTTTGACATGAGATCGATGTTTTAAGATATTTGTCAGATTATTGTTATTTAAACCATCTTTTACAACTTACCTCTTATTTCCTTGAATTGCATTCAATAACTTGTTGAGAGAATATGAGTAATGAGTTGTAATAAAGACATTCATATACTAAAGAAATAATTATCATATAGTAGATTATTAAACAATAGAAAGTAGTCTAGAAAATGATTAGGTGTTTAAAATTGAATTTTTATTTGAGTTAAAAATAAAATCAATTTTCTATATTCTTACAGTATATTAATATTTGATTTACATATCAATCATACATGAGTTCTTAATAAATAATTGTTTTATTCATCAAATAACTGATGAAAGTAACGAATGAATTGGATCTCAAATGGCATGTATTGCGTGAAACTTGAAGAGTTATCAATGAAATGGTGATTATTATAGAAACAAACTTTCTTTTCCCAATTTCAGACCAAAGAGATCGCCAACTGATCCCAATCCCAAGCCATCGTCCAAATCAAATCCGAGTCGTCTTCCGGTAAGGCTTTCGAACTCCTTTTTGGAGGCCTCTAGTCGTCGGCCGTATTGCAGGAATTTGAGGGCAGATCTGTAGGCAATGACGGGCACCAGTAGTTTCTTTAATGTGTCCGTATATATGGGAAAACATTCCACATTTGATGCAATCAATAGTACACTCAAAGTGAACAAAATGGAAATGATCTGAAAATGACAAAACATTTCATTCAATGAATTCTTATAACATTTAAACAATATCTCACTTTAAGATTCATTTCAAATCAGATGTTGTAGTAATCCGAACACCAAATCAAATGAAAGATTAAAACTTTTAAAACTTTAAAAAACTTTTAAACTATTTTAAAAGCTTTTTAGAGAAATCTAAAAAGAGTTTTCACTTGTGATATGATTTTGAAAATGAAATGATCGGAGAGAATCTCATAGTATTTAAATGGAGAGAATGAGGCTATTCGGCGATCAGGAACTCAAACCGTATTTCTATAAACATATTCAAAGACTAGGAATATTTTAATTATGAATACCGTTTTACAAATAACACTGTTTTAAATGTTGAGCCACTAATCAATGGTAACGAGTGAACGGCACTGCAATTCCTCCTCCCATTCGCTTAACAAGAATCTGATTTTCACTTTTACTTAAAACTTGTGATTAATTTTGTAGAAAATATAGGTCTTTATATATATAACATAGTACTCGCAATTGCTTTTAATCTATAATTATTACGAATCACTTAAATGTCATTTTTATACAGGTTTTGCCGTATTTCTATAGACATAACTAATAATATTTATTGCTTATCGCTGCAAAAAGCTTATGTTTAAGCTAAAGTTAAAGTGCAATTAATTTCTTACTGTTATGTGGTTAAAACATTTTTAATTATTTTTTATTTTTTGCTCAAAACATTACATTGTAAACATTTATCTAAAATGTTAGGATACAGTAAGAATTTAAAGGTTTTGTTTGTTTATTTTATTTTGTCATTAAAATTCCTATATTTTATGAATTATAAAGTGATTAATTTGTATATAAATATGTCCAGAATAGATAATTAATAATAATTATTTATATCTAGTTTACATAAAACAAATATTTTGCATTCTTTAAAATATATTTTTATAATATTATAAATATAATATTTTATCTAAAAATACAAAACAAAAAATAAATTAGTTTTATGACACAATCTCTGTCTTTTATAATACAATATATGATTAATTAAATGAAATCTTTGGAGTTTTTTAATTAAAAAAAATAACATGATATGTAGTAGTTTTATGCTTTCGTTAGGAATGCCTAAATGTCGACAATATTTAGAATGATTTACTTTATTAACGGAAATTTAAATATCTGTCATAGAAATTAATATGCAAATCATTTAAATACATGTCATATGAGGTCTCACTTTTGACAAATTAATACATTTGATATTTGTTTTTAAGCCCACATTTCATACATTTGACCATTGATTGTATTAGACATTAACAGTTTGCCTGAAATGATTGTAACATTTCTTTGAAACTTTAACATTTGAAATATAAAACGATTGAAAGCTTAAGAATGAGAGCATTAATGCAATCCCAATAAAACGATTTCATTTTCAACGCTTTAATTAAATACAGGCTTTTGAATAAAACAACTGACTATCTAATAAAAATGTGATAAAATTCATATCAATTTGATTTTTATTCAATTTATAGTAAGCTTTAAATATATTTATTGCACAAAACTCCCTGTAATTAAACGTAACTTTCAATATTGTGTTAAATAGATCTGCATTTTAGGTCACAATTGAATAACAGATTAGAAATGGGATAATGTATTGCTTTCAAAATTTCTTTCAAACTGATTTATATAAGAATTTTAATTTTATGTTTTTATCAGTAATTAAATTGTTGGCCAAAAGACATATTACTCTAAATTTAATTTAATTCAGATCAATTAAATGCATATCTTATTTTGCTTTTAAATTTTGGTTAATTTATTCACACATTGATTTGATTGTAGTACTTTTAAACAATGAGTACTAATTTTCTTTTTTCTTTTAGGTAATGAATTAGTGTTATTTTATTTTTATACAAATTTTATATCAATTTAAAACATGTTTAAATTATCTTATAATAAAACTATATAAACTCATGTGAATTATCTAGTTTAGTAACTTTAATTTAAATAGAAAATTAACAAATAAGCTAACAGTTTATGTGATAACAGTTTATTAACTGTATTAATAAGTCATAAGATCTTATCATTTTAAATTTAAATTAAAAATCAATTTCAAAATTAAAATGTTTTAGAGTAATATCTTTAATAGAATTTAAAATCAAAATATTATATAATTTAATGTAATTTAAAATGAATGCATTATAAATGAAAAATCTCTTTATGCACATTATTTTTAACTTTAAATAAAAATTCACTTAATAACTCATATTTTTATTTTAAAAATTAGTTTGCTATATTTTATTACACAGTAATCAAATGTTTAATAAAATCAGTAAATATAAACTTTTATTATTTATATATTTAAATGATAAAAATATTCATTTTAAAATTAATATCACATTAAATTAGAATAATACTAAGATTTTCATAATATTTATAATTATATAATTAAATATAACAATCATTTATTTAATATACGATTAGTTCAATTAGTTTCATCTATTTTAATATAACTATTTTTTAAATACAAAAACCGGTTATTATACTAATGCAAAAAAATCTTATATCATTTATATAAACGCTATTTGAAAATCAAGGCTTTCAATGATAAGACAGAGTATTTGTAATTTTTAAAATTAAAAAATATATTTTATCATATTTACAAAGTGTTCAATTTAACACAGTGTATTATAAAAATGTTTTGCATAAGAATATATTTAATTAAATGTTTAACTTTAATTCTTTATTTTAAAATTAATATAAATTATTGCAAACAACAAATTTAAACAAAAACTTATTTTATGAGATCTATTTTTTAACGTTTTAAAGATATTTTAATGAACATAGTTTTAAATTCTTGTACAATATAAATGAGTCTAAATTTATTGAAATAATGGTATTTTAAGGAATTATTTGAACCAAATCGTGATGTTTTCACATTTAAAGTTTCAAAAGTTGGAAAAAATTATCAAATTTTAATAATAAATTGTGTTTGAGTCTAAATAATTAATGAATGAATAAATTCAGTTTAAATTCACATAAAACCGGAAAACATTGATTACATAAGTAGTGTATATTTCATTTGTAAAACCAAATCTTAAGTTAAAATTCATTCAAACGAATGACTGACTATTGAAAAGAATTTATTTTTTGTTTTTTGTTGTAAAGACAAACAAATTAAGAAAAACAAATGTTTTTCAAATTTAATTAAATTTCTAAAATCGTATGATTTATATGTGAGTTAATGAATGTAACTCGTTTATACTATTTTCACTGAAAGTGACCTTAATTTTAATGTATTTGCTGTGAATCGCTGCGAAATAATAATAATAATTTCCGTTCAAATTGAAACCACAAAAATAGTTTAGATAAACGGTTCACTCATACAGTCGACAATCAATCTCTTATTAATCCATTCATTCTCTCATTTAATCCACATTTGATTACTTATTAAATACATATTCGTTTCACTACTAACAGAAGTTTTTATATAAATCTAATGATAAAAATTTTATAAAAAAAATTATATATAGACTTAAAATGATACTTATTATATCTATAGGACTGAATTAAATGTTATAATTGTTTTACTTCCGAATCTAACGCTGAATCACGCGATTATTTTATCAATTAATCATTTTTGCAATGAATTTATTCGCTATATAAGGAATTATCAACTTTAATAAATCACATAAAATACTATTTTAAAACAATATAAAAGCACATAACTTCCATTTGTTATTTATAACTTTAATTTTATACATCAAATTTTTAAAATCATGTGGATTACTTAAACACATTAATCGTTTAATTGACAAATATTTTAAAATTCCGAGAAAACTATTTTCAAGAAAACTCTGAAAAAACAAATAATTCATAAATGGTATAATATAAGGCGGATCCATATTTTATAATAAAATCAAATTAAAAATAAAACTTTGTTGTGTTTATCATATATCAATATTTTATATGATAAATGGTTCAATCAAAAATTCTATTCATTGAATTGATTCACAAATCATAAGAATTATTTGATTTTGATTTTTGAATTAATCCTTTTATTATAGAAATACAGAGAAAACAAACTAAAACATGAATTATAAATACAATACGAGTAAATAAATGATGAAAATATTTGGTACAAAATTAATGAATTTGTATAAAAATACATTTAAGGAAGGGTTACGTTATCGGGTCTGCGATACCAAAAGCGGGCCCTATAGTCATCACTGCAGGTAAGGAATGCCGGTTGGGTTAGGGAGTGACAGAACTGGCGAACGGCGTTGTTATGTCCTAACGATAAGAGCTGTTGTCGTTCGGCATTACGTGAGTCCCAACAGCAAAGACTCGTAGACTTCTCGTCCGGAAACAGAACTAAAGCAATGAAATCAATATTTGAGTCAATATTTGAGTCATTAATCATTCAAATGACTACAACTATCACAACAGACCATAGTCTTCGGTGTGATTGAAACAGGCCTGTGCTCTATGAGTCTGTTTGCCAGAAGCACCGGCACCTGTGTATGCGATTAAACACCTGGACATTGAGAGCTCCCATAACTTGACTAATGAGTCCTTTCCACTCGACAACACATACTAACGATGATTAAAAAAATGTTTAGAATTTAATAAAATACTCATTAAATGAAATACTTTAGCATTTCTTGAGAAGACAACGGAAGAGATCTCATATCCGTCGTGAGCGCGCGGGAAGATATTGATGCACCGGTTGCTCACTCCGTCCCAAAGCCTTATGTCTCCGTCTTTAGATGAGGTCACATACAGGGAAGCGTTGGGCGAGTAATTCACTTGAGTTATGGGACCCGTGTGTTGATCCGACGTTATGGCCGACACAAAGCATTGGGCGGTATTCACGTCATACAAGCGGAGAGTCGGGTGTTGTGTCCCTACGAGGAGGTAATCGCCCGACGGATGAAATGCGAGACAACGAACGATATGCGCTTCCTTTCCATACAAGACATCAATACAAGACATCAATACAAGACATAAATACAAGACATCAATACAAGACATCAATACAAGACATTTGCATCAGTTATACAGAAATACATGCGAAACGAGTCGAGACTAACTTGAATTGATTTGAGAGCCCTTTTGACCGATGGTTTGGCGTAATCGTAGAGTTTGACTGTCATGTCATGACTTCCAGAGACTAACAACAGTTCCGTCGGATGGAACTGAACGCAAGACACCTCTTCCATGTGGTCATAAAGAGTGCGAATCACGGGATGGGTATCCGTTTGGGCGGACGCCTCCTGTATGTCAGTCCCGGGACAGCCCTTCGCTATCATCCTCTCGACGTCCAGTATTTTGATGGACGCGTCGACAGAACCGGTGGCCACGAGTTGTCCATCGGGTGAGAAGGCGCCGGCACGACACGGGCCCTTATGGGACGTCACGTACACCGTCTCGTACTGACTCGTCTGCACTGAACTACCGGTGCGTTCCGTCTCGAAGTCCAGATCAATGCCAGAACCAGAATGTATGACATCTCCACCAGAAGAGGGACTGTCTGTTCACGTCATACCAATTAGCACTCAATTCATTGGACACAACAATCGGTCTCTCAATCAAACCTTCTTCTGATTTGAGGACATTTGAGACCATATTAAGCAAGCGATCAGATGGAGGACAGGCGTCCGTCACTTTGGCCGCAGTCGACAAACTGATGGCCAGGTTTTGGTGGCCGTCGTAGAAGAGTTGACTTCAGAGGACAATACAGACTGTGAGACAATGACATGACATGTGTGTCAATACCTGATCATGAATTTGTACAACAGATCCCTTTCCCGGACGCCAACCTTCGACTCCCGATTAGACATGTTTTGAGACAATCAGACAATTATTGTGTCAAAGATTGGATCAATTGATGGCACAGTCCTTTGAAAACAACACCAATTGGGGCACTATTTCTACATAAATTACATTCACTTTAATGTCTAAGCATTTGAATCCAGGTCTTTCAAATCTACATGTATTTCATTATTTAATTGTCTTTTCATTTCATTTAATATTAAATTAAATTAATATTAAAAATAATTAATTTATTACAAAATGTTTATTGAATTGAATTCAAAATAATTTTATTATAAAGTATTGATATTCACGTCATTTGTTTCATTCATTCATAAAGTTTTCAAAATAAAAGTTTCGTTTTACACGTGATTTGATTGACAAAAGTCTTCAACCAATTCATCGGATCAGACAATCATCGGATCAGACAATCATCGGATCAGACAATCATCGCATCCTTCATCCATTACCTATAAGATTGTCACCACTCGCACCAAATTTAATACCAATCAAATTGGATCCATTGATATCATGTCTTCGGAGGCCAATGGAAGTGAACGGGAAGGCGGTGATATCAATAGGATTGTCACTCAAAGGGTTGGTAAGCGTGAAGACTACATCTCATGGGACGAGTACTTCATGGCAGTGGCCTATCTGTCAGCCATGAGGAGCAAAGACCCGAACAGTCAGATCGGCGCCTGTATTGTGAACGAAGACAACAGGATTGTGGGCATTGGCTATAATGGGATGCCCTCTATGCCCACCCATTGCAACGATGATGAGTTGCCATGGAATCGCACCGCAGATAATATACTGGACACGAAGTACCCGTATGTCTGTCACGCCGAGATGAACGCCATCTTAAATAAGAACAGTTCAGACGTGAAGAAGTGCACCATTTTTGTGGGTCTCTTCCCATGCAATGAATGCGCGAAACTTATCATCCAATCGGGGATCACAAGAGTGGTCTACATGTCTGACAAATACGAAGACAAACCAGAGTTCATAGCATCCAGACGTTTGCTGACAATGGCTAGGATTAAGCTGGAACAGTTCACCACCAATAACACCCAGATAGTTATTGACTTAACCAAACTTAATCATTGAAGCATTCACTCGACATTTATTACACTTTTTATGACATATTTTAATGATTTATTTTTTAATTGCAGTTTATTTTGATTTTAAATTCAATGTCTATACAAAATTTAAGTGTTTTTATAAATTGAATGAATTTTTATACTTTTTTGAAGTTTAATTTGATTCTGTACCTTATTATACAAAGTTTGACTCAACCTCATCTACGGTAATGTATGATAAACTCAAATAGATTTTGTTGCATAAGAAATAAATGCTTTAAAAATATTGAGAGTTTTAGACTATTTCTAAAAATGAAACCAAAATCTCAATAATAGATAATCTATTGCTTACCCATATATCGGAGAAATTCAATTGTTATACAATTCATAGACTTATTGTATAAAATTGGGTCAAACATAACGAGAGGGGTTAAGAAGAGAGAGTGAAGGGAAAGGCTGTAGTGTGTGAGCCATTCCTCTGGAGTGGTGAGCAATGAACTGATCTGTGGATGTGATGCAAGTAGTGGTGGAGCGGATGAATCCAAGTGTTGATGCCGTGGCTGTGATTGTGTTATGGCATAGAGAGCGACCAAATCTTTGGATGTTTTGGAGGGAGGGCTGTAAGGAATGGTTGTGTCGGTCATTGATCTGAAGGGGAAGTTCAATGACCTAAGATATGGGTTTATATGGGTTTGTATGGGTTGGCAACCTTTACAATGATTATCCCTTTCACTGTTG